GTCTACCTGATTGTAAACTCCTTGAGCACAATTATTTGATGTTATTTATCTTAGTTTTGGATTTTAGCATCAAACCAAGTGCCTTGCATTCACGACGTAACTGTCTACTAAATTCATTCATTATAGGCAAGTGCTGATTATTGTGCCAAAGACAGTTTCATATATATAACAGACAGGCAATAATTGTACATGGTTTATGGAGAGCAGGAATCCAGTATTTATTCATTGATTGATTAATAGTTTGAAGTCATTTTATAATTAGAGCATCAGATGAGTTTGGTGCTCCTTTCTTTTCAAAAACCTGTTAGAACCGCTCAACTGGAATTCTGTATATCAATTATTTAAATAATAGCTCTCTGTACCTTTTTCTGTAAATTTATCCACAAGATTAGAGCTGTATTACCTCATAATAAATGAAGAGTCTTTTAAATACTTGTAGTACTAAAATCCCTTGGCAGGAATTCAGAATTATCTCACATTCTGCCCTATTCCAGTCAGTGTCACAGCCAGGTTCCAGTGTACATTACCAAGATAGGAGAATAAATATACGTAGTTTTCAAAAGACACAGACAATGAAAACGAAGCACTAACGTCTGCTGATGCTAGATTTTCCGATACTTCTACTGATATGCTCCTATAGAAACTGTTCTCAGGCCTGTGATTAATTGCTGTTTCCTAGAGCAAACTGGTAAATCTTACTTCCTTTTTTGGTAGAATATGGATTTGTCCATCAAATCTTAGCTAGTCCTGGAGGCACCCTTTAAAGTCTAAAGGAGGTAGAATTAGGACAAAAAAAAAAAAAAAAAAAAAGGAAGTACACCACACATAGCAGGTGGTAAATGGGTGAGAAGTATGACCAAGTGAGAAGTAACGTAGATGGAAAGCATAAATCCTTAAACATGTTTACATAAAGCCATGGAAATTAGATCCATAAATACTGTTGTGGGTACTAGGAAGCTTGGAAATATCCTTAATCTAGATATTGGTGTTAGAATAACTACACCTTCTAACCCTAACATTCTTGAAAGTCCCTGCAAAAAACCATACTAAACTGATTGTGTAATGAATTGTGTAATGAACTGTAATGATCCAGTTTAAGCTCCTCCAGTTCCATTTTGGACTCTGAACAGGAGGGGACAGAATGAGGAGGCAAATTGTCTAGGATCACGGATTTGGAAGACTGGAAGACTATAGGTGATCTTCACCAAATGTTACATTGTGTCAGTGCCAGCCTTTCGAGGAAGCTTTGCCACCAGAGCAGGGAAAGAGAAGTTCAACAAAAGGTAATTGATTTATCAAAGACTTCTAATCAGCGTCCCCCCAGCCCCCGAGATTTGAATATTCTCTAAAGCTTTCAAAGCTTTCAACATTGAGATCTTTTAAAATTGTTTGCGGCTACATAAAAGTCGGCCTCCTTTCCCTCCCCTCCCACGCCCAAACTTGATGTGTCCCAATACAATGCCTAACGTCCCGAGGCGCTGCAGAGGGGAAATGGCCTTTCGAGAGGAGACTTTGCGCCGGCGCCAAAAAGCAGGGTTCAGAGAGGAGAACCGGTGGGCGGGGGTTACTCCAGGGGGAGAAAAATCAGGCGATTTAGGGGAGGGCCTTGGCGAGGTTGGAAGTCGTGCTTTCGGCGCCCGAGAGCAAGTTCCGAGGAAATTAACCAGAGAGGGCGTGGCGCCTGCCTCCCACCCGCCCGCCCTCGCAATGAAAGTCACCGAGCGCCTGCGCAACCCGCCTCTGGGACCAGGTCGCTGTCTTTCTCCTGCTCGGATTCACAGTACGTGCCCGGGAGGGGTGTGTAAGCGGCGGGTAAGGAGAGGGAGGCGGCGGGAAGGGGACCGGGGTGGCAGGTGTAAGCTTGAGGGTCTCTGCCGACCTGAAGCTTCTTTGTTCCATGTAGCTGCTATATGTTTGCTTTTCAGTCCATCACTTTTAAAAGGGAGTTTCATTCCCGTCCCCCTTGCAGGTGAATTGTCAAGCTCCAGGACTAAAACTTGAGAGAATAAGTCTTTTTGTGTTTAAGTGATGATTGACCCACTTTGTATTCTCAGACCAAGGTAGCATCCACTTTGAAAGGGCCCCCTTGAACTTTTGGGGAATAAAAAGTACGTGCAAGTAATAGTAATCTAGAAAGTGGCTGCAGTTTAAGCAACTTCTGTTCATCCTAAGGGTGTAAAATCCTGCAGCGGCTCCGAGTTCAAGGGCAAACTGGCCTTTGTACCTCCTGAAAGACAGGACTTGCTTCTCTTGGTTTGCTTTGATAAGCCACAGAAACATTAGCAAAGTTAAAAAATAATAATAATTAACAAAGTGGAGGAGGACATGAATTAGACCCTATTAGATGAATTGGAGATTGTTAGAGTCTGCTGACTGGAACCCTGGGAGGATTCTCAGCCCCCCCTGGAGGCGAAAGCCACGTGGAAAGAGTAAAGGAGAAAGGAAGCCTTCTTTGGGAGTTCAGGCCTCAGCGGTTACTGCTGTTGCTGGACTGGGGTGGTGGGGACCAGGGTGCATGCAGATTCCATCTCCCTGCTTCCTTTGAAATAGTCCCAAGGCCTCTTAGTAGTCCGGGCACCACATTTATTTTCTCCTTTTTCCTCTGCCTGTTTACTCTCCAAGAACGTGCTAATTGGGCTGTAATCAAACATTGTTGAATGGCCTTGGAAACTTCTCCAGGTCTCCAGCTAACAGGCTTTAACCCAGTCTAGCCCGGTGTCCTGAGATCCCTAGCCTGCTATGAAAACTAGACACACCTTTTGCATCCCCTGGGAGTTAGGCTGGTGTTGAGTTTTACTGTCTTCTGCTTCTTCCAAAATAAGAGGCCTATGTGTGTTGACCACCTTTGTTCATCCTGAAAAATGGCAAATCGGTCCAAATTTGAATATTACTCTCTGTGGCAGACAAGGACAGTTTTTCTGAGGGTTTGTTTGAGAGTGGAGTTTCTTAAACACTGAGTCCAGAAAAGGTCAGCATAGGCCCCTGGTAACGGCCTCCCCCCACCTCCCCCCCCAGAGCCAGAAGCATTTTCCTCCCAACACCTGGGCCCTGAAACTTGCAGGCCTTGTCTGCAGTCACCTCAGTCTATTCAGTAAAATCTAGAACTCATAAACAGCAATGAGACCACTGAATTATCTTTTTTCTTTGTCTCATGGGTACTGTTCTGTTGCTTTAAAAAGTCTAAAACTGCAGAGTCATGGCCATGGGAATGCGTGCTCACATACTGTGTGTTGCACAATATTGATGTAGAAAGGCTGCTATAGATAAGAGAACTTTGCTCTTTTTGGCTAACAGCCTATAAAGAGAAGAGGAATATTTCTCAGTTGGTAGTATCTATCACTCAACTGTGATAGATACTAAGGGAGCAGGGGTGGGATTCTGTGGGGTGCGGGGGACAAGACAGGAAGGGGATTTGACAGAAGGAGGTCCCCAGAAGGCCGGGGAAGTCTAAAATGTTTAGCCTTGATGGTAGATAGCCCACAAGTTCAACACTTGAGAAAGCTGGGCTCCAATCTTGGGCCCTCCACTGTGAATTTGGGTCAATTACTCATTCTACCTCTCTGGGCCTCAGTTTCCTTATATGTTAAAGGTAGAGACAAATATTTGCTCTGAGTACCTTAGAGTTCTCCAAATTCTCAAGTGAGATAATGTGATGGCTTTTGAAAACTCTAAAATTGTATCCTCAGTGCCTAGAACAGCACTTATTTATTTACCAAATACTTGTATAGAACTTACTGGGTCCCACTGCCTTTCTAAGCACGTTATTCACTTAATGCTCACAAGAGTCCTGTGAGGGAGGAAGTATTATTAACCTCATTTTTACAGGTAAGGTAAATTAATCATAGTGGGTAAGTGGCAGAGTTGCATCCACCTGGACCACAGTCTAGTTGCACAGTCTGTGTGAGCTCGACACACAGCTCTTTGTCCTTTGTAAAGGCATCACCTCCACATTAGGGGACTGAGCCCCCCACTCTGGCGATATAGGTAGAGATATTCTCCACTGTGCCAACCAGTGCTGGACAGTAAAAGGAACAATACACTGTCCAAATAGAATACATCATTGGAATCATTTATTTTCTATAACTCATCACCAAGTTTCATGTTTTGCTCTGCTTACTTTTCTTAGATTATTTCTACTGCACTCCTAGACTACTCAAATCACTGAACACTTTACCCTCTGAAGTATTATTACTACTATACTGCTCTCCTCCCTCCTGGTGACCTTTCATGTACAAAGTTTCCACTAACTATTTTTAGAGTGCAGTGCCCAGGCATGATGCAGGTTCAAGGCAACTTACTGACAAATTAGCTTCAAAAAAGAAAGTCTAGATCAGCACCACCTAATTTTGTGCTGTAAATGACCCCTATTTCTTAATGCCTTGTCTTTAACTCTCCTCACTCCACCCTCAGATGTGCTGGGAGTGGACCATGTTGATCCTGAGAGGCGATTTGTGGACCCATAGTGTGTGATACCAGAAGCTCCCAAAAGCCACAGACTTGAGCTAAGGCACATTTTGGTGATTGAGAAACTCTCTGTGTAAAGGACACTTTGTGTGTTGTTCACATTTAGAGAAAAAGCCTCCCATTGACCTTTGCCTCCAACTGCTCATGTCTTTGTGTTGTTTTCCCACCAACAGGTCTGGAAGTCTTCTACTTTTTCTCTATCCTTTCTATACCCATTTTCACTGAGAGAAAACCATCCTCTGGTTGCTAAATACACTTCATTCTGAGAACATTGGTGGGGAGGTACAGAAACTGTTTGACTTTTAAAATGATGGTTGAATAGCAGCATTTCCTACTTGATAAACTTTTCTTAAATTAAAAAAAAATTAACACCTCTGCTGTGTTTCTTCGTATCTCTGTCCAGAGGCATAGGACTTAGGGCTTCCTTATTAAGCTAATTACTCTACCTGCGTGCTGAAGGAGAGTGCAGTTTATTCATGACTCCCTCCCCCCCCCCCCCCCCCCCCCCCGCCATACTAGAACAAGAGCAGATACATTAAATGTTGCTAAAAGTATTATTTTGCACTGAGAAGCGTCAACTGAAAAAAACACACAACGTGAGAGCTGGGAGTTCAGCTTTAGTTGGGGCTTTCTGAGGACTGTAGCTCTTGAGGAGGTGTGGGTATCAGTATATATCTGATTTTGCTGAAGCGGGTATGTGCAGTCAAACACACATCTTAGTAGAAGTTTGCTGCTGGTTATGAGGAACAGATGCCTCCACTAATGATGTTAGTGCTTTTCTAGGTATGAGAAGATACCAAAAATTGGGCTCATAAAAATTTCTCCTGAAAATATCTAACTCTCTGAAGGCCTCTTCTGCCACTTTTCCCCAGAGCACACAGTGCCTCATTCCTGCCCTGCCCTGAACTCCTTTCAGGGTGTGTTAAAGGTCAGCGACGGCATTGGCTAGTGACTTCCTGCTAGTAGAATCAGATGGTGAGTGCTATTTTTAGTTGGCAGCATCTATCTAACATACTTGCTTTCAAGACTGCTGACTGTTGGAGGTGGGTTAATTTGCTACTGTGTGTGTGTGTGTGTATTTAAACTAAATACGATTGAGCCTTGAACAATGTGGGGGGTTAGGGGGGCCAGCCTTCCACGCAGTCGAAAATCCACGTATGACTTACCTCGCCCCCTTCTTATACTCGGTTCCTCTGTATCCATGGTTCTGCGTCTGCAGATTCAACCAGCTGCTAATTGTTTAGCATGCTGGTATTTAGTATTGAAAAAATCCAAATATAAATGGACCCACACAGTACAAACCCGTGTTATTCAGGGGTCAACTGTACATTTCTATTTGTCTGAATCCAAGGAGTATATTTTTAGCCTACCTTTTAAAATAGGGGTTGCTTAAGAAGCTTTGGGTTTTTTATTTGCAAAATGGGAGTAATACTTAACTTGTAGCATAATTGGAAAAGGAAGGAAGATAACAGATGGAAGGCGTGCCAGCGCTGCCAGCTGCAGGGTAGGCACTCAGTCAGTGTTAGTTGAATCAGAATTAAGCAGTTTGCAGTCTCTTGAAGGAGACAGTGCAGTGTGGTTGGTATACAAGACGTGAGGTCAGAGACCTGGGTTTGTGTCCCAGCATGGCTGCTAAGTCTCTCAAATTTCCATTTCATTCATCTGTAGAATAGATATACTTATGAGAATTATAATTTTATGGTTATGAAAATTATGTAAGGCAATGCACATAAAGTACGTGGTATAATTGGATGTGTAGCCAAGTCTTATAAAATTAAATATACATGTATTATATATGTGATTTATGTCCCATTCAACAGTAACATACAGACAACTGCATGACCGGTAGCAGAGTATAGAAAGATACGTAGGTTTACAGATTATTGGTAGATAGATAGATTGATCAGAATGATCACTCTAGGTTGCGTGCAGGGGTTGAGTTTTAAAGGCAGGAACAGATATGGTCTACAGGAGACAACACTCCATGCTAAGCCTGAAAAATAGCGTTTAAGCTTGGGTATGAGAAAAGATATTTGTTTATGTAGAAGGCATAGAAGATGTAGGTAGTGGGGCTGATAATAGAACAGAGGAGGTTAAAAAGAATGACTCTCAGATAGTGCGGAATTTCGGCTTTACCCTAAGTTTCTACCCACTTGGACTTCAGCATCACCCGTGTGTGTCTCTGTCTCCTTCCTGAGCACTTTCCCGGTTATACTTCCGACACCAGACTCAGGGCGTTACCTTCAGTTTACTCCTGACTGCTTTTAGGTGGAAGTAAATATGGAATGTGAAGTGACCTGAAGACTTACGTAAAGTTAATCCTCCTCCCCTTGTGCCTTCTACAAAAGCATCATAAATGCCAATTTTTCACCTTTCATTTGCGAGCCTGTTATTTTATGTTTCCATTATCCTGCTTCACCCTCTTCATGTGTGTTGATGTGAATGATGACCATGGTCTTGATGACAGCAGTGATTGTGAACAGGAGATCATAAACTTTATTGAGGGTTTTCATGGGCCAGGCACTGTGTTAGGTATGTTCCACATGTTATCTCAATTAAATCCTGACAACAACACGCTAAGTTAGGAGGTATTACTATTCCTACCTTACAAATGAAGAAATTCAGTTTCACAGAGGCTAAGTCTCTCAACCAAGGTTAATAGCAAAATGGTGTGACTGGAATTAGAACCCTGGAGTCTGAGATCTTGAATACGACTGAAAGGACAAAAGGCTGTTAAGTTGGGTTTGTAAAGGAGGACATATGTTAGAACTTAAGCATTTCTAATCAAACATTAATGATACTAAGTACTATGTACGTAGTTTGATGTTTCTGAAGAGATCCATGGATTCTGTTTTTGTGTGTGTCCAACTGGTGGCTCATCTTGATGCAAAAATATGATTATATTTCTGTCTTTAGAGCAGTTCACCTGTCTATTTTCACTTGTAATACCCCCTGCATTTTCATTTTCACTCAGTACTTGTTTGATGTCTTCAAGCTTAATGATATAGAACTAGAAAAAACCATAATAGTATTCATTTTGGCATTAAACCTAACTGATTATTTCTTCTTCAGATAACCCAGGATATCTCTTTTTTTTTTTTTTTTTGCGGTACGTGGGCCTCTCACTGTTGTGGGCTCTCCCGTTGCGGAGCACAGGCTCCGGACGCGCAGGCTCAGCGGCCATGGTTCACGGGCCCAGCCGCTCTGCGGCATGTGGGATCTTCCCGGACCGGGGCACGAACCCGCGTCCCCTGCATCGGCAGGCGGACTCTCAACCACTGCGCCACCAGGGAAGCCCTACCCAAGATATCTTTAAGAACAGTGTGGTTAATGCTGCAGTATAAGCACATCAAGTGACTGTCAAGCTATTTGGGGTATTTCTGTCTGCTTTTTCCTATCTTGTCTAAAATTTTTTTAAGATTCCAGACCAAAATTGAAACAATGGTCGACCTCACGCAGCTAATGGAGAATGAAGTATTCATGGCCTTTGCCTCCTACACAACGATTGTTCTTTCAAAAATGATGTTTATGAGTACTGCAACTGCATTCTATAGATTGACAAGAAAGGTAAGACATTGGAGGCAATATTTTCTTTTAAGAGTTGAGATTCTGGAAAGCAATTTTCTTAAATTATTTTTTGTAAAGCCCAGTGGCATATTGTAATACTGCAAATGAAATATGTAATCATTTGGTACAGGTGGTTCTGATATATTTATGGAATGGGTGCTTTTTCCTAGAAACTAGTAAATAGTTTTTTCGTTGTAGCTTTTACCTTTTGTCATGCCACTTAGCATATGAGATTTCTGGAGTATCAAAGTTTTCAAGGAAACTTTTTGTGATTTTGAAGTTAATTTTGCCTACTAGAGTTTAGAAAATAGTCATTTTCTAGACAGTGAACTGGTGTTTTCAGCTCTGTTACAGGTCAAGGATATGCCTTTGGGGATAGAATTAAAGTTCTTATTATCAGCAGAACCTCTTATGATTGGGATAAGACATTTGAATTTTGTGTGGTTATGAATTCTTAAGTGGATAATATTTCTACCCATTGTGATAAGAATGATTTTTTTAAAACTGGAGGCTTGGGGAGGGTGGTAGAAAGTTTTTGAAACACATAACCTATATTCAGGCAGGGTTTATGACAACAGTGATGGGGGTAAAGCAAAGCTACATCGACAAAGTTAAATGCTCTTGATTGGTGTGGTCCCTGTGCCTATTCAGCAGCTTCTTTCTGGAAACCATCGTTTCTCTTTTAGTCCCTGTCCTGAGTTTTTGTCCTCCAGAGCCTTGCTTTTATCTAGAAGTCACAGTCCTTCCTAAGGTATTTCCTCATTACTGTCTTGAGGTGTCATTTCTTCCCAGGGATATCTGCATTTTAATGGGGGGCACATACCCACATGTGTAACTCTGTAATGGGGCAAGGTGTTAGAGCAGCAGGCTATAAAGTGGCTGCTACCACCAGATCCACACTGTCCTCTAGAAATGTCATGGCACCAAGGATAGCAGAAATGTTGCTTGTCTTAAAAGGAGAAGGGAATTCCAGTTTGTGGAGTGCCAGTGATATACGTTAGGCGCCATGCCACTCTGTGTGTGTGTCGGATCATGGAAGCATTTTACATAATTGTTAGCATTATCATGTGAGATGAGCATTACTGTTCCCATTTTATAGATGAGGAAATACAAGTCAGAGAGATTAAGTAGCTTTCCCAAGGTCACACAGCAATAAAGGGTGAGGCTGAGATTCAAATTCAGATTGGTTTAAATGAAAATCTCATGCACTTTACGTTGTAATACCTTTATTCACTCATGCGAAATGTATTTGTTGAACATCCACTGTGTGCCAGGCAATTATTTAAGGACAAGACAGACAGATCTGACCTCAAGAGCTGATACTGTATCACACTGCTGCCCATCAGTTCTCCTCAACATCTTTACCTGAAATAAATGCTCATGTCATATTAAGAAAAATATTATAATATTTATGACGTTCCTCACCTTAAATTAAGGCTAATTTTAGAGTTCGTGTTTTTCTTTATTATATATTATTAAATACTGGGACATATTTAAATATTTTTAAATGCATGTTTCAAGTTTCAGGGAATGGGGGACTCATTTCAAACATCATAATAATGGCAGGAAGGAACGCATGAAGTATGCCCTAGAACATGTCCTTGGTGTTTATAGGAATGCGATTCAACTTCTTATATTTCACTGTATTGTTCAACACAAACTTCTAGTTAATTCAGAAAAAGAAAAGAGGCACATATATCCTAACAAAGTACAAAATACTTTTCCTGCCCCTCACCCTTTTATGCTGCATGCCCGTTCTCTGATATCCTTGGCAAGTAAACTTATGACTTTCATATGAGCCAACCAGTTAGAAATATTAATACTCTTGAGGGCAAGTGCACCAACATTACTGTAAAAAAATGCCAGTTCACCGTAATAGTCAATGAGGACTTAGAATTATGCTCTGTTTTTCCATTTTGGCTTCCTTTTCCCTATTTTTATACATTGGTTTTTATTTACGTTATTTATGCTTCTCTTAAAATTTGTTTTTACACTGTTAATAAAAATTCAGATTTTAAGGAGAGATGCTTTCTGCTACCCCTGGGTTTGGTCTATTGCTCCCATTTTTTTTTTCATAATGGCCAACTTGGATGCCTGTATTTCCTTCCGTTAAAATGTAAATAACTTATCAGATACAGTTACCCCCGTGTTACTTGGCATTTGAAATAGGTTTTTTCCTCGTTATTTGGAATAGGTTTTTGCCAACCCAGAAGACTGTGCAAGCTTTGGCAAAGGAGAGATTGCCAAGAAGTATCTTCGGACAGATGACAGAGTGGAACGTGTACGAAGGTGAACCCACTGTCTCCTGAAATGATTTACTTGATCAAAGAATTTTGGGACCAGAGTTAAGTGAGGATGTTGGGGTCTTGAAGAAAGAAGGAAGAAAAGTCTGTCATTTTACCTAGTCCATATAATTATAGAAAATTAGCGATCTAGATGTCTCCAACTATCACTGTGATTGCACATATTTCCAATTTAGCTTTTCTGTGCACTTTGTTGGGGTTAATGACTTTGTTCTGTGTAGGGATTTATCAAAAGTAATGACAGGTAGGAGGTGAAATGAGGATGGAAGATTCTTGCAGTTTTTGTCATCTTTCTCCAGAGATGAAACTGTCAGTTTGTGTAAAAGGTTGAAGAACTAGGTATTTTTGCATAAGATTCAAAATATGAACTTGGGAAATCTCTCCCTTTCCAATCTCTCTCTCTCTCTTCTTTGTAGATATTATGTTTAATATACTGAGAATGCAATGAACAGTGAAAAGCAGTAAGCCAAGATACCATCTACACAGTTTCCTAATAATACCAGGAATATACTTATTTTAAAAGCACATTGAATTCTAGTTCTGGAGTATATTTCTTAATCCTTGGCGTAAAGTCATGTAAATTGCAAACTTTTTTTCATCTTTACAGAGGTATTATTGACAAATAAAATTGTAAGATGTTTGAAGTGTACAATGTCATTTGATATATGTATATGTTGTGAAAGAATTCCCTCTATTGAGTTAATTAACACATCCATCACCTCACATATTTCATTTCCCCTCCTCTCTTTTTTTGGTGAGAACATTTAATTTCTACTCCTATAGCAACTTTCAGTTATACAGTAGCACAATACAGTGTTATAAACTATAGTCAGCATGTTATTATACTTTAGATCCTCAGACCTTGTTCATCTTATGACTGACGATTCGTACCTTTTTATCAACCTCTCCATATTTCCCCCAACCTCTAGCGCCCTGGCTACCACTAGTTTCTGTTTCTATGAATTTGATTTTTTTCCTTTTGGTAGATTCCGTGTATAAGTGATACCATATAATATTTGTCTTTCTCTGTCTTAATTATTTCATTTTGCCTAATGCCCTCCAGTTTCATCCAAATGACAGGATTTCCTTTTTTTTTTTTTAAGACTAAATAATATTCCATTGTGTGTGTGTGTGTGTATGGTTAGATTGTTTCCATGTCTCGGCTGTTGTGAATAATGCTGCAATGAATATGGGAGTGCAGACATCTCTTTGGGATAATGGTAGTTCTCTTTTTAATTGTTCGAGGACCTTCCATACTGTTTTCCATAGTGGTTGTACCAGTTTACATTCCCAGCAACAGTGTGGAAGGGTTCCTTTTTCTCCACAACCTGGCAAGCATTTTCTATCTCTTGTCCTTTTCATAGTTGCCATCCTAACAGGTATAATGTGATAACTCATTCTGATTTAGGATGATTGGTGATGTTGAGCACCTTTTATGTAACTCTTGGCCAGTTGGATGTCTTCTTTGGAAAAATGGCTAATGGGGTCTCCTTTTTTAATTGAGTTATTTTTACTTGTTTATTTGTTTTGGGCTATGGAATTGTATGAGTTCCTTATATATTTTGAATATAAGCCCTTATCAGATATGTGGTTTGCAAATATTTCCTCCCATTCCATAAGTTGCCTTTCAATTTTGTCGATGGTTTCTTTTGCTGAGCAGAAGCTTTTTGGTTTGATGGAGTCTCATTTGTTTGTTTTTGCTTTTGTTGTCTTTGCTTTTGGTGTCAAATCTAAAAAATCATTGCTAAGGCCAATGTCGAAGAGCTTACCGACTGTCTTTTCCTTCTAGAAGTTTTATGGTTTCAGGTCTTATGTTCAAGTTTTTAATCCATTTTGAGTTGATTTTTGTGTCTGGTGTAAGATAGGGTCCAGTTTCATTATTTTGCTTGTGGAAATGTAGTTTTCCTGACACAATTTATTGCAGAGGCTGTCCTTCCCTATTGTGTATTCTTGGCTCCTTTGTAAAAAATTAATTGACTATGTATGGGTTTATTTCTGGACTCTCTATTCTGTTCCTTTGATCGATGTGTCTGCTTTTATGCCAATACAATACTGCCTGGATTACTATAGTTTTTTAATGTAGTTTGAAATCAGGAAGTATGATGCCTCCAGCTTTGTTTTTATTTCTCAAGATTGCTTTGGATATTCAGGGTCATTTGTGGTTTCACACAAATTTTGGGATTTTAAAAAAGTTCTTTAAAAATGCCACTGGGATTTTGAGAGGGAGTACATTAAATCTGTAGATTGCTTTGGGTAGTGTGGACATTTTAGCAATATTAATTCTTCCAATCTATGAGGAGAGAATATCTTTTCATTTATTTATGACTTTTATTTCTGTCTTCAGTGTCTTATAGTTTTCAGTGTATAGATCTTTCATCTCTTTGTTTAAATTAATTTCTAAGTATTTTATTCTTTTTGCTGCTATCTTAAATGGAATTGTTTTTTAAGTTTCTCTTTCTGATAGTTCATTGTTAGTGTATAGAAATGCAACTGATTTTTTTTATTGTAGTTTATTGAAATTTGAGCAAGAATTTGGCTTTGATATTCTCCAACAAAATATTTTTGTACATTGATTTCATATCCTGAGACTATACTGAATTCATTTATTACTTCTAACAGTTTTTGGTGGAATTAGGTGAGTGTTTTTAATATCATATCCTATCATCTACAAATAGAGATAGTTTTACTTCTTTCTTTCTGTTTTGGATGACTATTTCTTTTTCTTGATTAATTGCTCTGACTAGGATTTCCAGTACTATGTTGAATAAAAGTGATGAGAATGGGCATCCTTGTCTTGTTCCTGATCTTAGAGGAAAAATTTTTGGCGTTTCACCATTGAGAACCATGTTAGCTGTGGACTTGTCCCATATAGCCTTTATTACACTGAAGTACATTCCATCTATAACCAGTTTGTTGTGAGTTTTTATCATGAAAGGATTTTGGGTTGTCAAATGCTTTTTCTGCTTCTATGGAGAAGATTTTTTAAAAATTAATTTATTTGTTTATTTTTGGCTGTGTTGGGTCTTCGTTTCTGTGTGAGGGCTTTCTCTAGTTGCGGTGAGCAGGGGCCACTCTTCATGACGGTGCGCGGGCCTCTCACTGTCACGGCCTCTCTTGTTGCGGAGCACAGGCTCTAGAAGCGCAGGCTCAGTAGTTGTGGCTCACGGGCCCAGTTGCTCCGCAGCATGTGGGATCTTCCCAGACCAGGGCTCAAACCCGTGTCCCCTGCATTGGCAGGCAGATTCTCAACCACTGTGCCACCAGGGAAGCCCCTGAGAAGATTTTTATCTTTCATTTTGTTAATGTAGAGTATCACACAGATTGATTTGCAGATGTTGAACTATCCTTGCATCCCTGGAATAAATCTCACTTGATAATGGAGTATGATGCTTTTGATCCTTTCAATTAAACTGTTTAATTTGTTTTGCTAATATTTTGTTGGGGATTTTTGCCTCGTGTTCATCAGGGATATTGGCCTGTAATTTTCTTTTCTTGTAGAGTCCTTATCTGACTTGGATATCAGGGTAATACTGGATTTGTAAAATGAGTTTGTAAATGTTCCCTCCTCTTTTATTTTTTTGGAAGAGTTTGAGAAGGATCAGTTGGGTAATGTATTCTTAGTTGGTAGTTTTTTCTTACAGAACTTTGAATATATCATCCCACTCTCTCTGGCTTGCAAAATTTCTGATAAAAAATTCCGCTGATAATCTTATGTGGGTTCCCTTGTATGAAACAAGTTGCTTTTCTCTTGCTGCTTTTAAGCTTCTCTCCTTGTCTTTAACTTTTGATAAGTTAATTATAACGTGTCTCGGTGTGGGTCTCTTTGGATTCATCTGTTTTGGTACTTTCTGAGGTTTTTGTAGTTGAATGTCTATTTCTTTCTTCAGATTAGGAACATTTTCAGTCATTACTTCTTTGGGTAAGTTTCTGCCCCCTTTTCAGTCTCATACTTCTGGTACCTCTATAATGCATATATTGGTCTTTTTGAGGGTTTTCCAATAAGTTCCTTAAGCTATTGTCACTCTTCTTCATTATTTTTTCTTTTTGTTTCTCCGATGGATGAATTCTGCTGCACTGTCTTCAAGTTTGCTGAACCTTTCTTCTGCTTCATCTAATCTGTTGTGACCTCCTTTATTGAATTTTTTAATTCAGTCATATTCTTCAGCTCTGTGATTTTTGTTTGTTACTTTAAAAATATTTTCTATTTCTGTTGAAATTCTCACTTTGCTCGTGCATTGCTCTCCTGACCTTGATGAGCATCTTATGACCAATATTTCCATCAGGTAAATCACTTATCTCTGTTTCAGTAAGGTCTGTTTCTGTAGATTTATCTTGTTCTTTTGTTTGGAACATATTTCTCTGTTTCTTTATTTTTCTGTATTCTCTGTGTTGGTTTCTGTGCATTAGATAAAACAACCACCACTCCCAGTCTTGACAGAGTGGTCTCATGTGGGAGATGAACCTTGTCAATTAGCTTGAGCTCCTGGTTGTCTCTCAAGCCTTTGTGATTCTCCAAGCTGCCTTCTTTGTTTCTACTGGCTCCTAGTTTTTGAGTGTGTGCCAAGACTTTTCAAGTGTTCCAAAGGGGAGGATCACAGTCAGCAGCTAGCTGCAAGCAGATTGGAAGCTGGACTCTCAAACAACAGCTGGGAAAGTAGGTAGTTAAGCCCCTTCCAGAGAGAAACTGGGATTTGGGCATTTTTCCTGGGCTCAGGTGTATAGCTGTGGGGAGAGCTCTTGTACCTATTAAGAAACTGCTTCCTTGTTTGCTGTAGTCCTGTGGAAGTCATGAATGCAAGCCCCGTTGGCTGTCAGAGCCAGGCAATCCAGGAGCCTGTCCCTTCAGTAGTAGCTGCAAAAGTTGGGGTGCCAGAAGTGCGTACAAGCTCCTTCCAAGGAGATACTGGCAACTTGGAGTGGGCTAGAGGGAGAAGGTGAGGGATGTGTCTTCTGGCTTCTCCAGTCTCTGTGGAGGATTATAGCCAG